CTTCCGCTACGTCGACCCGGCGACCCTCGCCGGCGACAACAGCAAGCCCTGGACCAAGGTCGACACGGACGTGACCTCCTTCAGCCGCACCGAGCGCCGGCGCTCCGTGACCAACATCCGCGACGCGGGCGCCTCCACCTTCGGCACCGACGTCTCGGGCTTCGCCGTCTACCACGCGCCCGCCGCCGAGAAGGCCTTCACGGACGAGAAGGCCGTGCGCGAGGGCTACTACGCCGAGGTCGAGGCGCTGCTGCGCGCGAAGCTGCCGGGCGTGAAGAAGGTCGTCATCTTCGACCACACGGTGCGCCGCCGCGCGAAGTCGAGCCCGCGCCAGCCGGTGCAGCAGGTGCACGTCGACCAGACGCCGCGCGCGGCCGAGGTGCGCGTGCGCCGGCATGTGGAGGATGCGGCGGTGGCGGAGGAGCTGCTGAAGGGGCGGTACCAGATTATCAACGTGTGGCGGCCGATCGGGCACCCGGCGACGGATTTCCCGCTGGCAGTGATTGACTGGCGGACGACGGTGCCGGAGGACTTGGTTGCGGTGGACTTGTTGTATCCGAAGAGGACGGATGGGGATGACGATGATCGCGGGAAGGAGGTTTTGCCGGATGAGACGCTCGCGAAGTCGATTGAGGGGTATGAGGTCAAGGGTGAGTTTTGTCACCTCTTTTGTGAGAGGTTGATGAGGATGTGCTGACACTTTGACGGCAGGCGAGACGTATGCTATCGCGCCGAATGACAACCACAAGCTGTACTACATGAAGGATATGACGCCCGACGAGGCCATGTTTATCAAGTGTTTCGACTCGAGGAGCCAGGGCCTGCCGGGAGGCAGACACGGCATTGCGGGGTTGACGCCGCATACTGCTTTTGAGGATCCTGCGACGCCTGCTGATGCCAAGGGCCGGCAGAGTATTGAGGTCAGATGTTTGGTATTTTATGACGATATGTCGCCGAGGGAGGGTGCGTTTAGAAAGTAAAGATTTGGAAGAGCAGCATGAAGTTCAGCCCCGTATGAGTAAAGAACATGACAAAACAATGAGAACATAATTCAATAAGAATACCAGCATACATCCGCTTGTACTGAAAATGAGTTGTGTGCGTATGGAGGTGTTATTCAAAGAGTGCAATTTGTAAGCAACATTGACAAGGGGTATATAAATATGTTGATGACATATGTACAGCGACCGACGTAGTTGCAGGAGCAGCAACTTGACAATATCCAGAGTCATATCTTTCAAAATTGTGACGATGGATCATCATCCCTCCTAGTTCGACTGGTAGACGGCCACGTAGGCGGTCTCCATCATGCTTCCGTAACCACCCAACGTGTTGCCGTCGGTGTTGCCGGGCTATAAACAATCAGCAAAACTCACTTTCCATCAGACCATTCGAGGAAACTCACCCAGTTGCCTCCCACAGCAACATTCAAGATAAAAAAGAGCGGCGCGCGCGCAAGCGTGTTCCAGATTCCCTCGCTCCCGATGCGCGCGCCGGTAATCTGGTGAAACTGCACCCCGTCGCGGAACCACGTAATGCTCTCCGTCTGCCAGTAGTTAGACCTCCGGTCGATCTGCACCCGCCACGTGTGCCAACCCTGGTCCGGAATCCCCGTCGCCGCCCCGATTCCGTTGGGCTCGTTGCACGCGCCGCCGGGGTTGACATCGCAGTGCACCGTGCCGTACCCCGTCAGCGCGCCGTTCACCGTCTCGAGGATATCCAGCTCGCCGCAGCGCGGCCACCCGACGCCGTTGCGGATCGCGTCGCCGAGCATCCAGAAGGCGGGCCACATGCCTCTCTTGTTGGAAATCGCGTTGTCGCCGAAGCGGATGTAGCCCTCGGCGAGCGTCAGGCGGCCCGCGGCGGGCGTGAAGGTGTACCTGGACTCGATGCGCGCGGAGGTCCAGCCGTTGGAGGCGGAGGCGTCGCGCCAGGGCACGATCTGCACGGTGCTGCCGCCCGAGAGCTGCAGGTTGGCGCGCGAGGTGGTGTAGTCCTGCAGCTCGTTGTTGACGCGCAGGTTGGTGATGATGTTCCAGTTCCCGGTGTTGATGGCGGCGCCGGCGGCGCCGGCGAAGTTGTCCTGCCAGATGCGGGTGAAGCCGGAGTAGGAGGGGGCGTCCCAGGCCGCGACGAGGGCGGCCGGGAGGAGGAGGAGGAGGTGATGGAGATGCATGTTTGGTACAGGACTTGGGTAAGGAATGTGTGCGTTTGTTTGCGAGCCTTTGTGTCAGAAGGAATGTGTTTACGATGGACCTCAAGAAACAGGAAAGGACAGTGAGAGACCAAGAGGCTTTTTAAAAGAGGGAATGAAACGAGGCTATCGTGAAGAGAATGACATGTCTTGGAAACCAAGATCACGATGGTGAGGACAGTCGCGGGGCCAAGCGCGGTGGTGGGTTGAAGGAGTTATCATGAGAACAGGATGACAGCGGTCATCATGGGACTCGACTGTTATATACAACAACCCTGTATTGAGAGCACCCCATATCGAGGGATAGCCTCCGGCATAGAAAAGAAGATGCCGTGCCGGCCAAGGGCAGCTTCGGCCCCTGCGACGGAACAGTTTGCTGGAACAACACCTGCAGGACCGAGTCCAGACCGCAGCTGCAAGGTGCCTAAATACTCGGGGGATGAGGAAAGACACTCGTCTTTCCTTTTCCAAGTTGACAACAGACCCCCCTCCCCCGAGTCTCAGGAGATCCGTCCAATCTTCAGCAGCGATGCTGATTCGAAAGGAAGGGCGGATGGCAGTCTGGCTCATATATCCTTGGCCCCTCTGCTTCTGGGCACCCGGTTCTGGGGTTGCACAAAGGTCCATGCAACATCAGATGGACACACGCTGCTGGCCCCTTCTTCGGACCCCACGAGAATAAGATGGCACGCGGCCGAGGCAGCGGCGCGCTGCCTCGAGGACAACTCATCGAAGCCGACTGATGGTGGCAGACCTATATGTCGTAATGTGTTTCCCTTGCTTGTTGCGCCGAGGGCTCGGCCACGCAGGACACATGTCTGTGGCGGTCATCGTTCCCGAAACAGGCATGGGGACGTCTCGACAAACGTGCATGGCCTGGAAAAGAAATGACAAAGGGCTTTACTGGGTAACCAATGAAGACGCTCATAAGTCAACAGCCCAGATCTGGACTTTCTGTTCTCCCAAGACGGCTTGCCCCCCCGCCCTGGGGAGGATGTGTCGGCAAAGGCGTTGTTTCAATCTCGAGCATCTGCCAATCACTGACGAAGGGCGCGAGTCCTTTAAAGAGGCGCGCCGCCCCCGGGAAAGTGTGGATGATTTGCGCTCGCTCGGTACCAGCGGCGCGGCCCATCTCTGGGCGATCTGGTTGGTGGGAATGGGATGGGCTGCATCGCTCTTTTCCAACACCCTTGGACTGCCCACGCGGGAAGTGGCATTCGGCCCAACAAGCCCTTCCGGGTGACCCCTGAAGAATGAAAAAGGCAATCCATACTTTATTCGCCTGGCTGGGGCCGCTCTTCCTTCCCGCCTCTCACCAAGCGGAGGGGACGCTGGTGTGTTTTCGTCATGGCCAGTCACGTTCGAGATGGTGACCAAGCTTGGGTGTTGGCGAGACCACAAATCAGGCGCGGAGAGATATTGGACGGGCTTGCGTGCGACCGGGGGCCAGTCAGAAGAGAGAACGGTACCTGAGCGCCACCGCGCTAGCGGCAGTTGTGTAACTAGCGCCACTGTGTGGCAGCTGCGAGATCTAGACAAGAGCGAGTGCGGTACTTTTGTGGTAGGTGAACAAACTAGCCTCGTCTGTCCCCTTGGGTCCTTGGAGGGGTAGGGGTTGCAGTTCTCGTGGTTTGGGATGAATCATGGGAAAACATGCAGGTCAGCGACAACAACATGAAAAATGCACGAGGGGGCCAAACGGGGGCCAGCTACGTCTTTGACAGGTGTCTTGGGAGGTCTCGGCAGGGAGTTTTATGTGTTTGCTGCCCTCTCTTGGTATTGCGCCAGTGGGCAGCTGATGTTGGTGCGGACCAAGCAGAGCGAGGTTTCAAGCAAAGGTTGGCAAATAACGGGTATTTGTCCAAGTTGGAAAAGAATAGTAGACTTCCAAGTAGCAGTGCATGTGAAAGTGCTCGATGGCACCTTGCCAACATCGGGATTAGGGCGGGTGAGAGGCGGCTAAAGCGACGTGGGCGGCATCCCTCAGTTGGCGGCGATCCGGGCTGTGATTGGCCGGTTGTTTAAGTGCAAGGGGGTCGTGATCCTGAAGGGGAGCTGTCCCAGTGGTGCTGCTGCTGATTGCTAGGTCGTAGCCATGCGATAGCCCCTGGGTCGCTAACAAGAAAACGCCCAATAAGGGAAGCACAAATCTCCAGAGCGGAGGAAAAGATCCCATGGTGAATTTTTTTTTTTCTCGTCGTGCGTCATGAGAAACCGTCATGATTCATGGAGGTCTTCCCATCGAGTAAGAGGTGTCCGGCGTCATGACATGCTGCAGTCACCAGCGCCGGGTCACTGGGGCGGCACCTGGTGGCCCCTCTTTTTTTGGTGTCTCCCGACCGGTGCGCCGGCGCTTACCCCACACTTTTCCCCGTCTCAGATTCGGCGCTGTCGGGCCCATTTGGGGGTGATTGTCGCATCGGACGGGTCAGGCGACCGCGTCACGAATCTCACTCGTCTCTCGGCAAATGCAATGTTCTAGAATTTTTCGACGGCATTCCTGTTTGTGCTCCCTGCTAAGCCGAGGCTGCGCTCGCAGCGCCGCATCCGCGAATACCCTCACTGATGTTATCAATTGTGGGCCAGAATTGCTTTTTTGCGATGCAGATTCCAGGCTTTTGAAGGCCCACGTGACGTCTCATCGTTGCGATCGATCTCCAACCCCCTCTTTTGATGCTTTGGCTAAAACCCAGCATGTCTGTTCAGGTCTAGAATATGTTTCCGCGGGAATACTATTACTTTTGATAATTCATCTGTCTTCTCTCGCTACCTTACCGTGCACCGCATCTGGAACTGAAAAATCAAAATGTCATACGCTGGAGTTGGTCCGGTGGTCGAGATCGACTCCATCGGCGAAGAACCGCATGTTAACGGCAGCCAAAAACGCACTCGATCAGACGCAGACGACAAGACGGACTCGAAAAAAACCAGAGACCACATATCGCAAGAGTTGGATGAACTGGGCGATTTGACCCTCCGCGTTGGACCGGAGCAGTCAACCTTCAAAGTCTGCTCCAGAACCGTCGCGCGCGCATCTCCGGTCTTCATGAAAATGCTCCACGGACGCTTCAAGGAGTCTCGCCCAGAGTCAAGCGACTGGATCGTGGACCTGCCCGACGACGACACCGAATCCATGCAGATCATGCTGAACATGATGCACGCGCGCTTCGATTGGGTGCCGCAGGGTATCTCCATACAAGAACTCTATGAAATGCTGGTTCTCGTTGATAAGTACGACGCCCTCGACGTCGTTCGGCCGTGGGCTCGAGGATGGGTCGATGCTGTGAGCGACGACCTGGATCAGCCAGCGCTACTTTGGGTCGCGTCGGAGTTGGGCGATTCTGAGATTTTTGGGAAGGTGGTCATGGATATTGCGACAAAGTGGACGGTTGACTTGGACGGCGCCATCATCCCTCGTCCTCCTCCTTTTGTTTGGGAACGGGCAGCTTACATACAGAAAAATGAGAAAACTGAGCCGCTGTGGATACCCGAGCATGGATGGATACCAGGAGAGAACAAGTCCTGTGACTCTGGACTTTATGAGAATTCTGAAGGCATCAGAGCTGGCTGGTAAGTGAGGCCACCATGCGAAGAAGAACATTTACTGATGCACCGCCTCGATAGAAATCATCAATCATGCTCGCAAAGAACTGCTGATGTTGGAACTTCTTCCATATTGGTCTGTTATTCAGGAAATCCACACCGGTGGTTACACGCAAAGACTCATTGATCCAGAAATGATGGATGGAGAAATGTGTCTCGAATATGCCAACGACCACTACGATTGTGGCGCAACCCTACTATCCCGCCTATTGAATGGTTTCCATAGACTCGATAGGCAGGAGCAACTTCCAGTTGGCAACGGCTTACAAGGCTCAGGTTTCGCCCACCACTACCGAAAGACGGTTCCAGATCTAGTTATTCCAAGTGAGTTATGTGTTCGGGCTTATGCCGATCCAGCACTGACTCGCCCTTAGTTGGTCAAACCCCCTACAATTCTTCCATCACGAAGCATGTTGAGAACTTGCCAGTCACCGTCAATCTGATAGCCGCTGCTGGTTGTGAAAACATGCTTTTAAGTCTCGTCACTGAGCTAGCAGGGGCTAGCTTGCTGGCCCCCGCGGCAGTCGGAGCAAGCTCAGTAGACGGCGGAGAGATTCTGCGGAGATTCTAGGCTTGGAGGAAATCTCTTCCAGGGTCACTGGTTGTATGATCACGCAAGATCAGACTCACCGAGAAAGGCAAGTGGTGTTTCTGCCAAGAAGCACAGGGTAGTATCAACTCGGTACCCCTGGCGGCCCACATTGTCGGTATTGGTGTCGTAGATCCATCAACACGAGGTCTTGAAGATTGTCTACTGGAGTGACCCAATGTCGCAATCAGTCCAATTCATTGTCAAAGTTATTGGAGATAGCCTGTTCATAGGCCTGAAAGATCAAGCGACAGCGCATGTAACATCACTGATAGCATGTCAAAGACTTCTATTTATTTGACAAGGCATCATTCACTGATAGCATCCATTCTTGACTGTAACTACCTTAGCTGCAATGGCATCACTATCCCAGCCCGAAGTCGAATCCATCCTCGCCGTTCTTCGACAATTTTCCCAGCATGAGGCACAGCCCGCTTCCAATGAGCGCCCCGCATATGAAGCAGTGGTAGCAAACAGACTGCGAGAGTTTGATGAGGCTGGGGAGTCGATATCTCTGCTTCTTCCGGCGTTTCCTTGGGAGAACCCCAACACTGACAAGGTGTTGGGCCCAAGTCCAGATTTGGGAGAAGAGCTAGGATTGGCTAGACTGAACCATCTCTGCAAAGAGGTTGGGAAGATTTACCCGCGCGGAGCACGTCTGATCCTGGTTGCGGATGGCCCCGTTTACAATGGTCTGTCCACTTCTCACCGACGCCACCGACGTATGACTCGTGCTGGAGGAATGACAAGCTTACATGGGGATGTCTAGATCTTCTCGGTATCCCGGACGCAGACTACTTCGATTATGGAGTTCAGCTTCGGGAATTGGCAAGACGAGAGGGGTTCTCACACATCCAGTTTGTTAGCTTAGTCGACGTGCTTGGCCTCGAAAACGGCGATGCCATGTCCAAGGATGAACATCTCGCCGCAGCTGATGCTTGTCGGCGAGAGATGGAGCAGAGGTTTCTCGGTTCAGACCTCAGCGTCCAGGGCGAGGTTCGGGCCCACCCCGACACAGCACTCACGTACCAGAAGTACGTGAGATCTGCGCGAGAGGATCTGCGCTGGGGTCCCGAGGTTGAGCCTGATATCACATCAGACGCAGCCAAGTATGCAGCTGAGACGGAGCGGATCGCTGAGCGGATGACACAGAGACTGATTGTAAGCACCTTGGACCGAGTTCATGCGCGTACCCTTTACTGAGCACATTTTGACAGGCATACGAAAGAGCCCTTGAGCACAAGTTCCCACCAGTGATCAGGCTATCCATCCACCGATCAACGGGGGAAAATAAGATCTCGATTCCACTAGTACCCCAGCCGGTAGGGTTCGGACTCACACCTTGGCACTCCACTCTCCTGGTGACAGCCGATGGAGAATTCCGCACAGAGTTGTCCAAGGATCTACAAGACACGCAAAAGTACGAGATTGTTAAGCGTGATGGACAACCATACTTTGTGCGCGAGAAGCATTTGGCTTTTGACTGGCCGAGTCATGTCACGATCCATCACAAGTATGGAGGACTAATTGTACTGGAAAACACTTCAGACGTCGAGAGCGACAAGCTATTGACTCATGAGCTCGAGCTGAAGCTTGCGAGTTTAGCCCTTAGACGGGGTGGCGTAAAGGTTCGAGGATTCAAGACGTTGCATGCCTAAAGTGTAAATCCGCATGACCTTATCATTTGTCACGATAATTATGAAGTAACTCTCTTTGAATGAAGAGCTGTTCCGGCATTCTTCCGATGCCTGAAGTGCGAATATTTCATGATACTGGGAAAGCTGCGTGAGTTTGCCGTTGCGCGGAGTCTCGGAGTTTTCCCGTTAGCGATGAGCCAGGGGCAGGCCATGCCTCCGGTACAAATGGTGACAACAGGCCGAGATACAGCATTGTGGATTACAGGATTGGAATGATCGCCGCCAAGTTGGAGGTGTCACTTCGACCAAAGACGCAACCGCAAGTTACATACGATCCTTCTGGTGGACTTGGCAGTAGTTTGTTACGGACTTCAATTCATATTGGGACATTTATCACACCCCTGGGAACAGATTCAAGGCATGTTATTCCAGTAAACATGACAGAATCTCCCAAATTTCCGATCACCTACAATGGCCATCGGAGTAGACTTCCTTTTGGGACCGCACCTGTGTATCCCCGATTTCAAAGACAAAGTTACATTGAAATGGAGACGTTACTGCAATTGAACAAGCTTGAGGTGGTGCAAGCTGCAATGCCACATGGCGTGCTCTTCAAAGCAGAAGCATGCCACTTTTCGGGTATGCACTGAGTTTGTGCGAGGTGATTGGTCCGAAACCATTCAAGCTGTGAGGATTCGAAAACCATAATTAGACGACAGTTATCACGACTAAGTGCATGCCACTCTTGACATCTAGTCACATTTGTTACTGATGTAGGTCAGCTCGGATCAACCTCGCTCTTATGAGTTCATCCCACAATGTCGACGACAGAAGTAATAACGACAGACCTGGCGTCTCTCTCATTAGAGACTTACATCAAACTCGCTGGCTCGCGTCACCTGGCTCACACAGCCGCCATCCACGTCCCCAAGCCAAGACAAGCACCTCGGCCTTCCAATACCCATTCCAGAGAACATTACATTAATGATGAACACGGGAAAGCATATCAAGACATTGTCTCTTCCATCACGGATATTCTTGAGAAATTCAGTCTTCAGCAACACGGAAATGCGCACTTCCTTGGCCGAGACGTTTTCTCACCATGTGTCAATCGCCATGTTGTTGCAGGGAGACGAATTCCCATGGTGCTACCAGCGTTTCCTGCCAAGAGCATCAATCGCGTCGACAAGGTGTTGGGGCCTCATCCAGACCTGGGTGAGGAACTGGCACTGGACAGATTGAACGATCTTTGCTCCCAGATACAGAATGTCTACGCTCCGGGGGCGACTGTGCTGATTGCGACCGACGGCGCATGTTACAACGGTAGGCATCAGCCACCTTACAGTGCTCTTCTCATGGGGGTATTAAGCGACGAGTTTACTGACTATGAACAGATCTTACCGGCGTCACAGACGATGACCTCTGGGACTACGGCGTCACTTTACGTGAGATGGTCGCAAGCAAGGGATACCGATGCATAGAGTTCGTGCGCATCATGAATCTTTTAGGATTGCATAATGATTCTACGATTACGAAAGAAAGATTCATCACTCTGCTCGAGCCACCACGACAGGAATTGATGAGGAGATATGTTGATCCTGACTTTGACGCGAATCTGTTCATCAAGACGGACCCCGACTACAAAATGACTTTCGATGGCTACGCCAAGTTTTTGAAGAAGGGTCTGGCCTACGGCCCGATCAGAAACTCTGCCATTAGTGGGAAGAAGTACAAAGCAAAGGTCCACGAAACTGCCAAGGCGATGATTGCACGAGGTGTGGTGAGTAATAGTCCATCTCTGAGCGCATGCTCAACTTAGCTAAAACCATCTCTAGGCGTTTGCGGAGCTTATTCGGGAGAAGCTACCTGAGCACGTCAGACTCTCCATTCATCCATCAACAGGCTTGACCAAAATATCAATGCCACTGATTCCACAGTCGGACACGTTCTCCATGACGCCCTGGCATTGCGCAGTAGCTGTTGAAGTTGAAGTAAATTTCAGAACTGGACACCTTCCCACGTGGAGAGATACTCACGAACTTGTGTATCGAAACGGGCTACCGTACTTTTTCAGAGAGAGGTCGACGCTGTACTCTTGGGACGCAAAGGTGGACTTTGAGCATGTGTATGGCGGCGGAATTGTCATACATAACGTGGGAGGCGCAGAGCAGACCAAGGCATCTCTGTCAGTCTCAGATCAAAAGAAGGCTGCTTCGCTCGCGGTACTCCAAGGAAGGATTCTATTTCGTGGCTTTGTATAGTTACAGCGTCTTTTCTCACTGGATATTCTATGATACAGGTTGATGAGATAGCTACTACATACCATTTTCAACGAAGCTTCAAGCGCACATAGTACTGAACAGGCTTCCGTGTGAGGCTTGTAATGCTCTTGTAACTCGACAAGTTCTCCGGGCACTTTTGGAACTCAAATGACCACGCCAGAGTGGTGACCAACAGCTTTATCTCCATGTATGCCAACTTCCGTCCAAAACAGCCTCGAAGTCCAAGACCAAAGGGTAGAGTTGGACCAGCAGCAGCATTGAACTCATCCTCGCCGTTCTCATTCCGTATAAGCCTGCGCTCCGGTCTGAACTTCTCCATCCCGTGGCTGTCCCAGACTCTCAGACCAAAGTCCTTGGCTGCTTTTTGGCAAGATGGACTACGTAGGCGTTCATCGATCTCATAGCCTGGCTCGGTGAAACTGGGACCCTTGTTCGGGACCATCACGAGGGTACCCTTGGGGATGGCATGGCCTAGAATGATAGTGCCCTCTTTGCAATCTCTATCCTGGCTGGCTGCTGTGTGGGCAAGTCGAAGCATCTCTTCAATGACTGCGTCTAGATACGGTATCTTTGCGTCGCAAATCTCGGAATGTGTAGGGAGTCGATTTTCGGTCGCAGCAGCTGAGTGGAAGCTTCGGAGACTGTCGAAGAGTCTTTGCTGAACTGATTGATCATCCGCCATGTACTTCAGACCCCAGCACAGAGTCGTGCTCGTCGTGTCGTGCCCGGCAACAATGAAGCCGGAAGTCTAGATCAATGGAAGGTCAGCATGTGATCTTGAGTGGTCACTTGAGCGTTCTTCTTACCTCGTCCCTCATGGTCTCGATCCAGTTGGGGAGAGGGCGGCCTTCTTTCTCCACAACACCGTTCAGTCGTCGAACCATCAAGTCAATTGCGGACTTTACATGTTTTTCTTCGTCGCCAGCATTCTGAACTTGGAGTTTGAATCTCTCCGACGCCTGCAAGACCTGATCCACAAGGAAATTGTCTCGTACAGCTCTTGTCCGACGGACACTAGGCATAAGCCCAATGATTGACCATGCAAGCCTTGGAAACCCAGTCTCGGCTACTCCACCAATGTTATCTGCACCCTGTAGGGTTGCTTCGAGCGCAGGATGGATTGGAGCAGTTGGAAAGCTCAACACCTCTTTGTCGAGTGCTGCATTTCGCAAGGCTTCGACGTTGGTAGTTGCTAACGCCTCAAGTTGAGGAATAAGCGCCCTCATCTCGGCAGCGTCGCCGAATCCGAAGTCAAAGACGGCATCTAGGGCAGCGTAGAAGACATCATGCTCTGCTGAAAATGACTTCCCATCGGCAAGATGCGCTTTCTTTCTCCAGAGATCTACGAGGCGCAAGGCACTCTTGTAGATATTCGGAGCCGCGACTCAGTGGAGAAATGCCGGAGTCATCAAGTCCTGAAGTAAGCGACGTTGAGCCTTCCACTGTGGGCCTGTCTTCAAGGTAATATGGAAAGAGTTTGCCTCGCCGGACAAGACACTACTCATAAAGTTAGAGCGGTCAAACTTCTTTCGGCGCAGAAGAATATCCTGGCCCTCGCGGAAATCGGCAACGACGACAGCAGGTTTCGTAAAAGGGCCCAGCCAGATTTGGAAGATGGGGCTGTTATGGCGACGAGACTGGGCTGAGATCCAGTTAAAGATATTGCCGGGAGATTCCTTCTTGCTCTGAGGGATATCGCCGAGGAGAATCTTCGTGGCGTCTTTATTATAAGGGATTCCAGGAATGGGCTTCGGCAGGAGGTATCGATAAAGGGAATAAAGAAGCGGCAATACCGCAATGAAAGGGCCTAGAACGCCCATCCATGGCACGGACGTATTGGGTTCCAACATGTCTGCCATGGCTGCGGACCTTGGCCAGAGCTTGTTGGAAAACGAAGAGTGCTGGCCTGAGACTATTAATCAAATGACTGGAAAGTCTTCATCGCGTTGCGGAATGGAGTCAAGCAATCTTCATGAAATATCCTTTCGTTAGAAAACCAAGCCGACGGCTTTCAGTTGGGGTCCGCTGGAGCTGGAGCGTACAGTAGCCGACGGAGCATAGAGTAGTCCCGACGGATACGGAGAATAGTAGGCGTTTTGCTGCCCGGACGCTAGTTTCCGGCAACCGGGCAGTACCCCACTATGTTACCGGCAATGAAGTCGGCCGGCCGCCGCAGGCTAGCTACCGCACCGCGCGCGTAATCGACTACAATTAGTTACGACCGCGCTTCTGGAAATACACTGAATCTCAATTTTGTCATCCTTTCGTCTTCCTTGCACTATTATTCCACGATTGATGAGAAGTACCACAAAGATCTATCTATGACTATAAGGCTAATGGGAACGCTGTCGTCGCTATCGATTCAACGACGTGCAATTGACTCTTCAGAGGTGTTTACAGCAGTAGCTACGTTGGCAGTTGCCACTTTGCCCGATGCCACCTCGCGTTGAGATGAATTCCCGTAGCTTCCTTCCTGGCTGCGATCGTCCTCCAAATGTGTAAGCTTTGCCTTCCTGTTTGCAGACGTCAGTATTGATTTTCACCAAATATGCGGCGTAGATTGACTCACTCTTTGCGTTTGATGTAAACGTCCAAAATGTGGGTGGCGATAATGAGTGATATCGCGCATCCCAGACAGAACGAGAAACCCTTCGGATATCGTGGGGACTCAACGGTGGGGAAGGTAAGAAGAGGCGTCCAAGCAGTTGAAGACTGTGCTATGATGGTGATCATCACGAGCGTGAAAGACCGCTGTTCGGGAGAGTCTCGGAGGATGGTGTTGACCCAGCCGTGCAACACACTGGAAAGTGCGTTGGACCAGTACATCGTCGCGAAAGCAAACCATTTTGCGCCTTCGGGTGCATCCCAAATGACCAAGATAATCAACCCCGTGACGTTCCACAACGATGAGAACGTAATAGCCCACGCCGGCCCCAGCACCAAATCGGACAGGAAGCATGCCACGATGTTGTAGAGGATGCCAAGGGCAGGGGCGATAGTCCCCATCTCATTGACCTCTGCAGACGTGTAGCGTCCCAAGCTCTTGATCCAAAGAAGGAAGCTGCCAGTGCTCTTGTGAATACCGGCATTCCAAAACAGCACATCGACGAGGACGACGGTCCAGAATTGCGGGCTGAGGAAGATCTTTTTGATGTGCCCCAGCTTGAACTTGCCACGCGTAACATGGCCACCTCTTTCGAGTCGGGCCTTAGCCACCTTGATATCATGGTCGTTCAAAACCCAGCGATTCGGCTGGTCGACGGTGCCGGGGAGGAGGAAATAGCCGAGGATTCCGACGGGAATGGTGATGATGGCGCAGATGATGTACATCCACCGCCACCCAGCCATGCCATGGACGCCTTCCAAGCGACGCGTTGCACCGGCGGCGATCAAGCCAGCCGTTAGCGTTCCGAGATTGAGTCCTGTGTAAAATATGCCACCCCTGCGAGCGATTTCATGGCCGCGGTACCACGAGCCAAAGACATAATGCATAGCCGGGAAGAATGCAGCCTGGCGGCGTCGTCAGTTTCAGTACGATAAACCACGAGGTCATGATATTCCACACACCTCAAAGAAGCCAACCATGAACCTGTAAGCAGCCATTTCTCCAAAGGTCTGTCCGCGGTACTGTAGAAGGGTAAAAAGACCCCACAGAATATCCAACGCTGGAATTGTCCAGTACATGGGAACGTAGGTGAAGAGAAACATGAAAGGCACCATGCCAACAACAGCGCCGACGGTGTACATGGTCTGTAGCTCAACCAACTCGTTGCCTTGAAATCCGAGCTCCTCTTTCATGCCTCCAACATAGGCATTGTCTGATCGTGTCAGCGTTTGCCTGGAACAGCGAAAAAAGCTGTTTCACCTACTCAGATTCGCCTGATCGATGTACTTGACCCAGTAGCTCAAGACCGCATACGGAACGACAATCATGTCAAGCTTGACAATGAGCTTGCGCTCCTCGGGCGTGTCATCGTCAGAGTACCATTGAATCTTCCACCACTTCTTCCTCGGAATAGTGTCGGCGGTAGGCATTTTCGGCAATCAGCACAAAGATGACCGTTGGAAAGTCCTAAACAAAGACGAAATGTGGTAGAAGGCCTTGCAATCCAAGAGCTTCCCAGCACCAGGGAGCTGGGACAATTGATTGATAACTGCTTCCCACCCGCCCCTGCACGTCAAAGTTCTCCCACCTTATCGATTGCGCCAGAGTCCCTGGGCCTTGTGCCATGTGAACCACCCACTGCCCAGGCCTGCATTTGTGGGAAGCGTCCCGCTTCCGCGCATCCCCGGAAGTCGGACGGTGCCCGACCCTGGACAACCAACGAACCGTTCTGAGAGGTGCCTCGTGGCATCTGCGAAGCCTGCCGGGAGTTGACCGACAATTTGGACGCTGAGTGCGCGGCTTGAACGGTCGTCGGCTGAAAAGGGATGTGGGTGGGGCGTGTGGCTGAACGACACACGAGGGGACTGCGCAAGAAAACGGAATCTCGTTGGTGCTCAACTCGGTGGCCGACGGGCCCAAACATGCTTAAAGTCGGAGATAAAGCCTGAAAGCGACTTTAAGATGGATTGTGGTGGCACGTTGCGGAGGATTCCGTTGCGTGCGCGGGGTTGGGTTGACTGGCTGGGAATGACGTGCTTGACGCTGGTGATGGTGCCAGACGCGCAGATTGGTAGCTCGATCACCGAGACTGTCCCGGTCTTCGGGTCATCTTGCACCAACTATAGAGCATGCAGATTTTGAGGACTTTCGCATTGGTTTCTATGATCGTTTGTTGACGCCGGTGTAGAGTCAGCGACAGGATTGCGGCGAACTCTGACAGAGCGGTCAACCTGGACCGCAACAGGTGATCTAGAGATGCACTGGAGCCAATCATGTTTCCTGGGTTTCCTCTTGGTAAGTCAAAGCACCCACTTTCCGGCCACCCCTGCATTCCGGCCACCCAAAAATGATGCATTCATAACAACCACCACTTTATTAATCAACTATCGACTGGGTATCGCTGCCACTATTATACAGCTTTCGGCCTCACTAGGGTAATCAGAGGCGCTGGATTCATGTGTATCATCGAGGGCATCGCCAGCCTCAATCTGGGCCTGCCGTACGTCGCTAATGGTCGCGAACTTTGTGTTTGGGTCGATGTGAACAGCCTTCCTCTTCCTAGTGATGCTATTGTTGACTTGGGCCTGGAGGAGCTGTATTTGATGCTGGGCGGTAGCCAACTCCATGGACTGCTCTTGGAAGCCTTTCTTCACCTTTCTAAAGAGCTGGCGTTGTGTGGCGATACTTTGTTCCAGTTGACTATACAGATGTAGTTGGTCGCCAAGGTCCTTCATCTTCCTTGGCGTAGACCACTTAACAGCAGAGGAACCAGATACCTATTCCTCGTTATCCTGGGAATTCTGGGCATCATAAGCACCTTTAGCCTTCTTGTTGAGTGGTGTTGATAGTGCTAGTGATGCTGATGATGCCTTGGGTAGTAGTAGGGAGCTTATAAGTGGCTTTGCAGCAGCAACAGGCCATAACCCAGTGTATTTCCAGCCACTCTTTATATTGCTTTCTGTTAGACCAGCAAGGCGAGCCTTCTGATAGCATGTTATGAAGTTCCTCTTGCCTATGATAGTCGAATCGTTCCACTGGGTGAGGTAACTAAGCTCCTTACGATAGGCTGCCTTGACAGGGCTGAAGACTGACTGATCAAGTGGCTGGAGGACATGGGAGGTATGTGGTGGTAGGAATAATAGATGGATGTTGTTGGTATAGCATTCCCACATAAAATCTGTTGTCGTATGGCTCCCATGCCTATCTAGGATAAGCAGTCTGACCTGGTCAGGTTGAGAGGGCCTAGTCTGAGGGAGGAAGACTCTTTGCAGCCACTCAACAGCAGTATCATCAGTAGTCCATCCATTTTCTGTTGCTGTGAATTCCCATCCATTGTATGGGTCAAGGTCTAGAGGAAACCACTGCTGTTAGACCTTCTTGCCCTTATATATAACCAGTGGATGCAGTGCCTTGCCAACAGCAGAGATACACTCGATGATAGATACCCAGGCTTGTGATCCAGGCTGCTTTTTCCTAACTGACTTCGTGGCAGCCCTTCCCAGCACCAGCCCATTATCCCCCTTGCCCTCAAGGATGCCAGTCTCATCCATGTTATATCGATTAGCTGGTTTGATGGCTGTGATGCGAGGCATCGCGAGATATTTGAACCATTGCCTAATAACCTCAGTAGATGCCCCATTAACACGCCTAGAATCAATAGAGCGACTTCTCTGGACCTTGATAGATGGGTTTCTTCGCAGGAATCCATCCATCCATCGCTTGCCTAGGGGTTGGGTATCCCCCATGGCATGGAGGATGCGCTGGGCGAAGTCCTTCACTTGTTGATGGGTTGGTGGCAGCCCGAGGTCAGCCTGGATTTGCACCCAGCTGGCCAGCTTAGCCTCCTGGGTATAGGATAGTCGCTGGAGGTCCTCAAAGGCAGCTGCTCTCTGTTAGGCGCCTTTAGTCCGGTCTTGAAGTGTTGATCGTGGTACTCCCCATCGCCTGGAGGCATTGCGGGCCGATATGCCATTTGCCATATCGGCAAGGGCTTGGTTAATCTCATTTTCGGTATACTGAACCATTAAGTAATCAAAAAGGTATCCTGAAAAAATGATGGAGTTTGGATAAAAACAGAAAATGTTGTAGTAGTTAGAAGTAGGAGGTTATCTAGAAAGTGGGTGGCTGGGCGGCATTTTTTGGGTGGCCGGAATGCAGGGGTGGCCGGAAAGTGGGTGCTTTGACTTAGCCCAGTCGTGCGGCAAACACCTTCACTAAAAATCAACTTCATCGAAATGGCGACATAAAGATTTCCACTTTGTGCTAAATGTTTTGTGCCGTTGAGACAGAATATCTGCCTGTAGTCGAAACATCGCTGAAGTAAGGTTTTGGATGTGAGCAAACTCATGGTTTGAGTTATCACGTCAGCGCCTAGTGGTTGCAACCAGCCCAGAGCGTTCGGTTGACCTTGTCTATCGAGCTTCCGAACACTCGAATAGGGTTGGCGCTCATCCCACAACCGTTGAGTGCTGCCAAATCCTGAAAGACTCAGCAGAAGATGGTTTTCATGTTAACAAACGGCAGACAAATTGCACCCAAGGTCTAGACTAGGCTCGGAGCTTAGCTTTTATTCGTTGCAACATCGTTGGTTCCGAGAAAAAAATCGATGGACCGGCTCTCGTGAAGTTTTTCAAGAGTTTGTTTGTGCCAAGACGCTGAACATAGTCAAACTTTTGACTTCGTAGTGGTTGAGCCAAACCACACCTTCAACAAAACTCTTGTCTCGTGGGTGTGCGACAAGATGTGGGTTCTTGAGCTTGTTGAGAGTTCGGACTGATGATGGGGGTGTAGGAGACAGTGGTGTCGACGTGTCTGCAACTGTCAGATTATGCGACCGCGACGTGTAACGTCCCGCACCCACTTTCCGGACACCCCCTCATTCCGGACACCTAAAAATGCCTCAATAAAATCTTTCTCTTACAACTTTGATCCTGAATAGCTTCACCACCTTAATCTCACTTATTTCCATCTTTATCTAACATCTTCTTCTAGACCATATGAGTCAATATACAGAGTATGAGATTAATCAGGCTCTTAATGCGATCTCTAATGGGCTTAGCGTGCGAAAAGCTGCATTGCAGTATGGGGTCCCAAAGTCTACTCTTTATGATCGTATCCAAGGCACCCAATCAAGAGATATTGCCTTCTCAGATCTACAGAGGCTCTCTCCAACCCAAGAAAGCCATTTGGCTGAATGGATTCGAATCCAGGCTGCCCTAGGCCTACCACCAACCCATCAACAACTCAAGGAATTCGCTGAGCGTATCCTACAGATCCATGGAGACGCCAAGCCTCTAGGGAAGAACTGGGTTCAGGCTTTTATCAAGAGAAACCCATCTGTAAGGGTCCAGAGAAGCAGAGCAATTGATTCCCAGCGCATCAACGGAGCCTCAACTAATGTCATCAGGCAATGGTTCAAGCACCTCGCCATCCCTGAGATCATAGCCATTAAAGCCTCCAATCGATACAATATGGATGAGTCTGGTATTCTGGAAGGCAGAGGATCAAATGGGCTTGTTCTTGGATCATCATAAACTCGTTCTATCCGCAAGAAACAGCCTGGATCGCGTGCTTGGACATCTCTGATTGAGTGTATCTCTGCAACTGGCAAGGCACTGCCTCCACTTGTTATATATAAGGGCAAGAGTGTCCAGCAGCAGTGGTTTCCTCTAGATCTGACGCCATACGAATCCTGGAAGTTCACAGCAACAGAAAACGGGTGGACTTCAGACTCTACAGCTGTTAAGTGGTTGACAGAGGTCTTTATACCTTCTACCCAGCCAGCAGACCCCTCAGAGGTCAGATTGTTGATCTTGGATGGTCATGGAAGCCATGAGACTACTGCTTTCATGTATACATGCTTCAGAAACAAGATACACTTGCTGTTCTTGCCAGCACACACGTCACACGTCCTTCAGCCACTTGATCAGTCGGTTTTTGGGCCCCTCAAGGCAGCATACAAGAAGGAGCTTGGATTACTTGCTGAATGGGATGCTGGTACAGTTGTGGGCAAGAGAAATTTCGTTGTATGCTATGGCAAGGCGCGTAAGGCAGCCCTGACAAGCAAGAATATCATCAGTGGCTGGAAATGGACTGGTTTGTGGCCTATCAGTATGGCTAGACCCCTCATGAGCCCTCTGCTGCTTGAGAACACTTCAACCCCTGCCAAACCAGCTGGTCAGGTCTGCAAAGGGCTCTCTGATGGCAAAGCAAGCGAAAAATGGGCGGCAGATACATCAGCAGTCCCTTGGTCAACCCCCAAGAAGAGGGATGAGCTTCAGGATCAGTTCAGCCTGTTCAGCAAGCTGGATAACGATGAGCATACGCAACGCCTGCTTTTTCGGAAGGTTCAGAAGGGCTTTGATGAGAAGGCATACCAACTGGCAGTAGCCCAGCGAAAGATTGAGGCACTACAAGCAGAGGTTGATGCCAGTAGGGCCAGGAAACGCAAGAAGGTCAAAATGAGCCCAAATTCGAAGTTTGCTGATATTGAGGCTATTCGGAGGGCTCAAATCGAGGCGGGAGAACTTGAAAATAGTATAAATGAATCCAGCGAGTCTGAAAACCCTAGTGATAGCGAAAGTTGTATTGTAGTTGCATCAGAATAGCAGAAGTCCTAGGTTTAAGTTACTGCGTTGATATATGGGGGCATAATTTTTGGGTGTCCGGAATGAGGGGGTGTCCGGAAAGTGGGTGCGGGACGTTATTTGTTTTCACTCACAGATAACAATCAACTTGCAATATTGTCAAAACAGCAGCTTTTTTTTGTAAAACTGCGCCACCACTTGCCCATCGAGAGTCAATCAACTTACCGGACCCAAGACGACTGCCGATTGCCGACTTCTTAATCTCTCGACTTCCTCCCGAGCGGATCCCGCGGATGCAACACTGCCACTGAATCGTCGTCCCATCTTTTCCTCTCCGGACTGGAAAGCCGACGCAGCCTCCGTGTTCGCAACACCTCCATCGACCGGGCCCTAAATGACGCTACGTGGGGTCCCTCGGACGTTTCTGTCTGAGCAGAAAAGAAACCTTGGTACACCGGACGACTCCAGCGGTTCCCCCGCGCCAGCCACTCCGATGGCGTGCACGAACCTTACTGGCTGGATCGTCATCCCAACGTCGAACACGGAATACGCAAACCGCCTCAAGACAGTTTCACGCCGTGGCCCAATCTGCCATTGTTGCTTACCAACATCATGACCTGACTTGTCCGTACGATTCTTCAGTTGGGGGTTTCCGAAGGACACGAAGCAAGTGACGAGAAGAGCGAATGTATAGTTATAAGATGGATGCATTTCCAAAGGACATTGAGCCCTTGGTGGTGAAGGTTGAGCGACTAATGCTGGTGTTTCATTGCGCTTAAAATGGACTTTCTCAAAACAAACCCCCTCTATCTCGGAGGCGCACTTGTGTGCGTCGCCCTAGCTACGGTAACTTCTTCAACAGCATAGAGGAACGACGAACGAAACTAATGGCGCACGATAGTACATATATCAAGGTCTCACAAACCCTTTATCAAACATACCAGGCCCGTGGTACACACGGTTCACAACCCTCGTATCAACATATTTCGTCGTCACCGCTCATCACCCTGACTGGGTGCACGCTCTGCACGCAAAATACGGCCCCGTGGTGCGAATTAGTCCACACGAAGTCGACGTCTCTGACCCGCAAACATGCCAGCGCATCCACAGTGTCAAGGGGGGCTTTTTGAAGTCTCCCTTCTACTCGC